GCGGCTCTCTCTGTCCCCCTTCTTGGCTGCTTGGGTTCGTATTCATCCTCGCCCCCGGCGTGTCCTGCGGCGTCGGCGGTGGGCCTTGGCCGCCTCTTTGGGCTCCCCACAGAAGCGCTGGAAGCGCCCCCATCAGGAGCGTCAGGATTGTTAGCGACTTTCCTGCCATGTCGCTGGAAAGGAAAGGCTGGTACTGAGCTCTGCACTGGTTCGGGCCGAGCTGCAAACGGCAGCATGGCTGTGTTGTCGTGGTGGCAGGTGGCAACTGAAGGTCATGCAACTGTACTGCTGGCAGGCAAAAGAACATGTCACAACTGTCATGCATGTGGCTGCAGGTCTTAGCACTCTAACTCTCTCTGCTCCTCGCTTTCTCCCTGTGTTGAGGGGTCATTCGCGGTCGCTGAGGCTGTGGAATGCTGTGTGGGTGTGAGCGTGTAGCTCTGCGTGTTGGGGCTCGGGTTTGACAGTGGTATTGGTGTCCCCCCGTGTTGTCTCCCAGGGGCAAGGTTGGTAAGTTGTGGCTGCTTGCCTGTTGCCCATTCTACGTCGAAAGTGTCGACGAAAAGGGGTTCAAGGTTCTGCCAGGTTTTGCGGTCGAGGGCTTTGGTTGGCCAGTCTTCTCCCCCTATTGCTGCAATCTGTCTTTCGGTGTCAAGTGCGCTGCAGAATCTTGTAGCGTGGCGGGCTCCCTGTGTCGGGCTTTTTTGTTGTTCCTGTCTCCAGAAGGCTAGCCCCCTCCAAAGCAGCATGTCCTTGGTGACGCCACCCCCTCTAATGACGTGCCCCCACAGTCTCCAGATGTTCTGGAGTATGTGTGTGGACCATCGTGTTGTCTTGCTCCTGTGTAGGTGCACTCTTGCTTGGCGGAGCGAGCGTCGATTCCAGTGCTTCCACTGCTCGCCTGGTTTCCTGCGTCCCCCGGTCATGTTGCGTAGCTGGGTGAGTTGCTGTGTGTTGGCTGCTCGGAGCAGGTTGTCTTGCACCGGCCATGTTTCACTCCCCCACAAGGCGCTCTGTCTCACTAGGGTGTCATGTAACTGGAAGCGTGGTCCGGCCGGCGTGTCGGCGCTGAGGATCCGTCTGTTCTGTGCGTAAGCTGCCCTAGCTCTGCTGCCCATTTCGGCAATGAGTTGGGGGGTGCTCCCCCGAAAGCTGACTGGGGAGCCTAGTACGCGGAGGGGTGTGTCTCCAGTCTCGGGTTGTACTGTCTGTCCCCCCACTGTGAAGGTGACTGTGCTGTGTGGGTTGTTGCTGATGATGTGTGTTTTACGTGGGTTGATGCTGAGCCCGTGCCTGTGGAGCACTTGTTCTAGCAGGGTGAGTGTGCCTTGGAGGTGGTGAGGGTTTTCCCCCCAAAGGTAGGTGTCATCCATAAAGGATCCCCCGTGGTGTGGTGGGGGTGGAAGGAAAGGCAATTCCCCCTCTCGGTGCATGGCCTGGGTTCTGGTGAGGGTGTGCTCCAGGATCTGTGCTACTCTTGCTGCAAAGAGCACGGGGGAGTCTGGGGAGCCTTGGCGCACCCCGTTGGTTTGGTCAACCGTGACTTCCCCCTTGTCTGTGGCCACGTGGATTTGCCGAGCGTCGAGCAGGGCAAGCCATAACCTGGCTTCCCAAGGGAGCGTGGGCCCCACTTCGTCGGTGACGATTCTCCCCAAACTGTCTTGTGCTACGGAGTCGAAGGCCTTTTGTAGGTCCAATTTGATGATCCCAAAATCGCCTCCCCAGTCCGCCCCCGCCCTGGCAACTCTCCTGAGCGCAAGGATGAGTTCGACCCCTTGCTTTCGTGGCGCTGCCCACTGGTAGGTGTAGAGGTGGTGCAGGCAACCTCCCCCCCGGTGGAGTAGTAGCTGTGCAAGGGTTTTGAGCACGGTGCTGCTCAGTGTAATGGGTCTGGTCTCACTCCAATTGGCTGGTTTTCCCCCTTTTTGGGAGGAGGACTGTTAGTCCCCTCTCAACCAAGGCCGGCAGTTTGCCTGTGTAGAGTGCCTCATTCAGCATGGCTAGCACGCGCTCCCCCCAAATGGGGTGGTGGATGAGGAGCTGGAAAGCTTCATGCGCGATCCCGTCGACGCCGGTGCTTTTGTGCTTCCCCCATCTGCTGCTGACTATCAGGAGCTCAGTCAAAGTAAAAGGGGTCCAGGGTGTGGCCTTGCATTGGTAGGAGAGTCTGAGGTTCATATCCTCGAAGGCCAGGGACTTGGCTGTCCCGTCTGCTTTTTTGAAGATCCCTTCGAAGTGGCGTAGTAGGGCCTGCTGCCAGTCGTGTGCGTCGGTAAGGAGAGCGATCCAGTCCCCCTTTTTGTTGTTGTTTTGCTTGTGTTGTCTGTACGCTGGCCAGTCTTTGGAGCTGGCCGGACGAGCTCCTGGTTGTGCTGTTTTCGCTCTGTCTTGAGTTGGTGCTGGACGGTCTTCCACGCTGCTCTGCGTTCAGCCCCCGGAGGTGTGGCATGTGCCTGGCGGCGCATGGCTTTGAGCGCCCGGCTTTCCTGGAAGAGCAGCTTTTCCCCCCGTCCTGGCTTGGTGATGCTCTTGCAGATTTCGGCAATTTGGTGGTGTCTGTCTGCTGGTGGTTGGCTGGCTTGGGCTTGAAGGTAGTCTGCAATGGTGGTGTTGGGTGGTGGGTGTAGGTGCCTCACCCCCCCTGGTCTGTGCGGTCTTGGCTTGCTGATTGCTTTGGCTTTGATCTGTGCCAGGATGGGCTCGTGATCCGATCTGGCCATGTCCCGGGCTTGTATCGGGCCGATTTGCAGGCTGTGTCCTTGCTTGAGCAGGATGTAGTCTAACCTTCTGGCTTCCAGCGCGGTGTTGTAGGGGAAGTGGCTGGGGACGTGCATGGCTTGGGGTGGTAGTCGGAAGCCGTTGGTGCTCCCCCATGCGAGGAAAGCTTCTCCTCTACCTGTTCTGGTGTGTGGGTGGCTCTCGTCGCTGTGTTGGTGGAATTGCTCGTTGGCATCTAGGCCCAGTATGGCCTTTGTGGCGGTGATGGCTGGCGTGGTCCCCCATTCGTATAGTATGGTTAGTATGGCTTCTGTTTCTGCAATGGTGCTGTGATGTGGGATGTGACCGCTGAAAGCTCCCCACCTCTCACCCGAGTGCAACCGCAGTATAGTGCTGACCCCTCCTTTTGTGAGGCGGGACTGGCTGTGTGTGGCTAGGTTGAGTTTGTATGCGACTGCCTCTCCTCTGAACTCTCCCTCCATCTTGCCGTGGATGAGCTTCCAACCGTGGCCTGTCTTGAAAGAGAGGCCTGGAGTGGTGATGATCTCCTGAAACAAAACTGCCTGCATCATGCATAAGTGCTTTGCCCCCCCGAATGCCCGCAGAAGGTCTAGCGTGGCTTCCACGCCAAGTCCGCCGACGTTCCAGGTTGCTACGTGAAAACAGTGCTCCCCCTTAAGGGGTCGGAAAGGTGGCGACTGCGGGGCCTCGTTGTCCCCGTCGTCGCTTTCCTCTGTGCTCCCAGTGGGTTCTTCACCTCAGCGGAGTGCCTGCTTGAGCTCACCCCACTCGGTGGTCACTTCTCCCACAGCTCTTCCCAGTCCGGTGGCTATGGCCGGTAAGTCGATCCAGCCTGCACCGGCGGTTTCAGCCCCCGTCGTTGGGCTGGTGGTAGCGGAGCACACGCGATTGGCAAAGTACCAGACTGTTCCGGAGGGCCACTCGACCTCAACGGCCCCCGGGTTGGCGCCCAGGGACAGTAGCAGCCGTTTGGTCTTCCCCGCGAGTTGTGCTCGGCGCCGTCGTTCGGGAGATTGGGAGAGCTGCATCCATAGGTATCTTGTTCCCCCATCTGGCTTGGGGCCCATGGCGATGTTGGCGGTCCTGACGCGCTTGAGGGCTTGGCGAAGACGATCACGTAGTGCTCCCCCCGTCTCCGCTTGACGGGCTTTGTAGGGGACTATGACGTATCCCCGTCTCACGCCTGGGCAGAAGGCTTGGTCCATGTCGATGTCGACCCTCAACTGCTGGATCATGTCGCGTGCCTTTTGCAACGTTTCACTGGCTTGGGTGTCATCATCCCAACCGCCAAGGATGAGGGCCGGCTGTTTTCCTCCCCCTTCCGTGTCTGCCGTAGAGCTCCCCCCATGGAGTTGAAGGTGCTGGACTTTCTGTTCCAGCTGCTGGAGGCGCCCCCCGGTGTCACGTTGTTCTTGTTGTACCGCTGCCAGGGCTTGTCCTTGTTGGGCTTGCGCGTCCGTGAGCTGGGCTAGCTTCTCGATGGTTTTCTCCAGCTGTGTCCCCACTCGTTCCTCCACGGCGTCCATGCGGCGGTTCACTGACTGGGAGATCTCATGCTTGAGGGTGGTGGTGCTGGCGGTGAGCTCCCCCTTGATGACTTCGCGGATGGCTTCCAAACTGAGTCCCTCGCCTGCCTCTGGGGCTCTGCGCTTGTTTTGCCCCCCCGGCGCATCTGATTCCATAGGTGCTGAGTGCATTCTCGGTCGGGTTGCCAAGTCACGATCACTGAGATGTGGTAGTCCCCGTTCGAGGTAGTTGGTGTCCCGAATCAACGTGAGGGAGCGCGGCTCGCGTAGGTTCGCCGACCGCCGTCACAAAGTTGGTGACAACGTCCCCCGCACGCCTCCGCAGCGGCACCGTACTGGACCGAACCCCCCGAGGTCGCCCTTAGGAGCGAGGAGGAGGAGGTCGCGTAGTGCAGCAAACTGGTAGTTCACGGTTATTGCTGCGAGGTCCGACCTGCTACCCTGGAATGGTCGGGTTGTCACAAGCTCTCTCACCTGCCCCCCTCTCCGGTTGTGGTGCCTGGACGACGGGCTGGCACCTTGAGCACTCGTGGCTTGTAGCCATCTCTCTCTCTCTCTCTCTCTCTCTCTCTCTCTCTCTCTCTTTCTAATGTTCTACCTCGCTAAGGCTCCCTTCCACTGTCCATGTATCATTCAGATCTCTCCGCGAAATGCACCCAAGTGCCCGTATAACAGTTCTTTTCTTCTCACTTTCAACAACAGGGTACACAGATGCAAGAAAGCTCTAGCTTCCACCTGCACCGGTACGACGTTGTAGGCGCAGCTTCGCTTCCTGCGCAGGCAGCAAGTCGAAAAAACTGCGCTGCATTTACAAACACCTGTCCCTCCGTGCACCTACCTATCGGTACAGCACTGGACATCAGAGTGACAGACCAGAGGTGGTCTTCGGTGTTCCATCCCCTTTTTGCTTTCCCCCGATGTGGCTGCATTCACTAGGGATGCATCTGAAAAGACAGCCGACTGGATCCAAAACTCTTGGTGATGCGCACCTGCCCTGCTTTAGGACCGGCCCCTACGCTGCTTGTTTCTGGTGTTTGTTTGGTTGTGTGATGGCAGTAGAGGCCTGACAAATGCCCGAAGGAGCCGAACCTCCCCATCTGCAAAAAAAGTGCTGTTCTTCTTTGTAGCAGAACGAACAACCTTCGGCGAAACACCTGAAACAAACAGAGCGTCTTCTTTCGTAGTGCAGACCCTTTTGGCGTTTTGGTAGAGCAGAGTGCGAGCATGCAGAACTTGATGTTCCGTCGGGGGCTCTGGGGTGTGCGTGCCGCATGCGCATGATGCCGGCACTCAGGCAGGATACGGCTTCTGGGTCCCAAGGCTCACTTCCCGAAGACAGACAAGAACATGGGAGGCCTGTGCGCATTCTTCCGGGAACCTTCGTGGCGTCAGTATAAGTTCGGCACATGCCATAACAGGCGTGACGGGGGCCCAAATCCAGAAAGCCGTGGCAGTCGATGCACTCGAGATTGAAAATGTGAGAGGCTCCCAAGGCTTGCCTAACACCCTTGCTGTGCCCATGGCCTTTCCGTCGCGACGTTGTGGCTCGAGCCTTCGCAGCAGGAGCTTCTTACTTCCGAAATCTTCCATGAATCTCGCCGTCGCCCTTCGGTATCGACGCAAAGGAGTCTTGGACCCTTGGCCGACGCCTAACGATCCTCCCCGCTCCGGCTCCGGCCGGGGGCTGCCTTCGTGATGGTGCTTCTCTTTGGATTCTTGAACACTCGGCCATTCCTGGGCGCAAGCAATCTCACCTACCCGCACGATAATGAAAGCCGAACTCAAGAGGCCTCTAGATGGCATGATTTATCTTCGTCTGCTGGGCTGCAAAAACAGATCACTGCAGCAGGTGTTCTTATTATATGTTTTCCTGCGGCGGTGTCCACACAGCTTTCATGCTTTACCCTTTTGATGCAAGTTGTGCACCCTCTTTCTTTCTAGATCTCTCCGTCTCTCTCTCTCTCTCTCTCGCTCGGGGCTCGAGGCTCTCAAGGCGGATTGCCCACCTGCCGCCGGCAGCAGGCTTTGTTAGGACAATGAAACACGAGCATGTGTGTGAAGGGGCACCTTAAGCTTTCAGTCATACCTCCCCAGGACATAAACTCACTCGGACATGACTGGAACTACTGAGATGCGCCCAGATTCATTCTCAACCCTTTAACTTCGAGTCCAATCCTCAACTTTCTCGCTCCGTCCGTCTCTCTCTCGGGCTGAGTCACCTGCTAGCCACGACACAGCATGCATGGTTGCACAATGCTTACGGTCCTTGCGACAGTTCTTTTTCCGCGGAAGCCATTCATTCCCTCTCCCTGCCCACCATTCCTCGTTCTTGTGCATAAGCCCTGCACAGGCAAGGATACCACAGCAACCCTTGAGTGCACAGAGGCATAACCTCCCGCCTTTCTTATGCTAGTTGGGTCCAGCAGACCGATAAAGCGTGCCTTGGCTTACGCAGAGTGAAGTTGGAAAAGGAAAAGCTCAAAATGCGCAACGCCTCGTTGACGATTCTCTTTCTGCATCCAGGGGATCTAGCAGCGGCTGAGCCCTTCAGGCCCCTGTGAAGCAGTGAGCGATGCGGACAAAGAACGATTTAGCTGTAGAGGAAGCCTATAATGTCTACAAGGCCTCATGCACGTGAGTTGTCAGCAATCCTGGTCCACCACGCGTCTACTCAAAGCCGGGCGAGCTGCCGCTGAAGCTGAACATGAACGCCAACCCACGAATGTTCCGAAAAGGACACAGAATGGGCATAGGCAAGGCTATATGGCGGGGCAGTGCCAAGACTCCCAGGAAGGCTCGCCGGAGAACTTTGGGCCTTCCTGGATAGGGCTGCGGTGCGAGCGGGCGGGTGCGTGCGCCTGTGTGTCTTTGTGAGTGTGCACACGTGTCTTTTTGTCTTATGCTTCGGCTTCCGTTTCTAACCTCCCATGTCCCTCTGCAGCCGATTCTGCGGGCAATCTGGGGGTAAGTAGTGATTGGTGGCGGTTGTTCCGTTGGAAACTCCTTGCAGTTGTCTTGACAGAGTGGGGAATTTGGAACATGACTACCCTCAGCCACCGAGGAAAGAAGCCACGCCGAAGGAATTCAAACTGAACTACAATTACATCAACAGGGTCTTGGCGAAGGCCAAGCCCAAGGCAGTCCCAAATCCCATGGGGCTACATTGAAAAGAGCGGCATTCGCCTGTTAATGTCATGGTCGCGGCCGTCCAAACACGCGATGTCGATTCAAACGCATGCACATTTTCAGGGGTGTGGGGAGGTATGCCTCCATGGCTAGATGCATTGCTGCCGTACCTGTACCGTGCAGCCAAGTCTCTCGCTCAAACAAGCCCAACCTAAATTCTCACGTTTTCGTCATGCTGGCTTCTCAAAGCAGTCGACAAGTCCAAACGCTCACCGGCACATCTCCTTGCGCCAGCATACCGCTGAATCGTGCCAAGAAAGCTCGTCAAGCACCACTTTGGTTCCGCACTCTCAGCCCCATTGAGCTAAGCTGGCTGAGCTCACACTGAAAGCTCAAGAGCCATCGCAAGCACTCAGCAAACACGACGAAATGCGAAGTTCGCTGCGTCCATCACTGCTTTCAAGCGGCATGGGCAAGCCCAGCGGCATCTCCCACGACTTCTCCATCCTCAGGCCACAAGTCGGACAAACATCCAGCAGCGTGTCCTGGTATGAAGCTTTGTTGTGTAGAGGGACCCCCCTGCGCCGCCCAGCATCCTCGATCTTTCATCGGAAAAACGGGACAGCCACAGGCAGGCAACCTTGCATCACACAAAGGCTACGGACTGCAAATAAGCAGCTCCGCTTGACCATCAAAGGTCAGATTGATCCAGGTGGCCAACTGGTTCCTTCCGCTTCGGGGCTTCAGGCTGCTGGGCTGCTGGGTGTCATCTCTGACATGCTTGCAGCTGTGAGGGTTTGGAAGAAGCGAAATTCCTCCATGCACGGAAGGACGACTCAGTAAACTGCACACAAGGCTTTGTCGTGGAGTACGGCACGGGCGAGGAGCATCTACCAATCCTGGGCTCCTATCCCCAGGTCCGTCAGATCTTCCAAGGAAGTATGCCCCTGTTCGCCACTTGACCAGCTCAACACAACGCCAAAGTGCAACAACCTGCCGAGCTTCAAAATGTCGTTCGTATCATCCTCCGTGTAGCGTGTCAAGCCCAAGGAGCAAACCTGGGCAAAAATCTTCCTTGCTGAAAAGCGACCCTTGTGCAGCATGTCTCGGCCCCGAACCCTAGACTCACCAGACCTCGACGACTCATCTTTTGTTCGTCACATCCCAACACGTTTAAATTGCATCCCACTTCGCCCAAAGGCGGCACCAATGCAGCAACTTGTGGGAACTCTGCAAAATACCAGTGCCCGAAGGTCTGTGGCTACGGCTCGGAATCCATCTATGGGGACTTCGCGTATGTCTTGGAAGTGATTCAACTGCGGCCGAAGCTTGCAAGCCTGGGAGACCAACACCGGCATCCCCATACAAAGCCCTACAATCACTACAAAATAAAGAAGGCTTGTACACTCCAACCGGGCCGCGGCATCGTGAAGCTGCTTGCCTGATATAAGCTTCTCTTTTCCGAGGATGCCTAAGCGAAGTCGAAGGCGGTGCCGAACCTCACGGCAGCAAACCATGCCCACTCAGAGTTGTGCCTCACTGTTCCCTTAGCCAAGTCTTGCTACTAGTAGATTCTGCAGAACGCTTTGATCAAGGAAGTTTGCCACTGCCTCGAGTCCCTGACCCATGAAATGGTCTCTCTTCGCGTGGACGAGTGGCAGAAGGACGTTTCGCTGGGAAGCCAAGAGGACACATCTACATCGCAACACTATGTGTGACACTAGTCAACCCAGGAGCGCAGGTGGAATACTCAAGTACTGTATCGGTTTCCGTGATGCACAACATGTCAGCCATCGTCCCCAGTCGCGGCAGTATTTGCAAGCCTAGTCAGTCAGTGACTCATACGCCACGTGGCGCGTGGACAGATGTGGCTTGACGCACCGTTCGATACCAGACAGTGGGGTCATGTACAAGTCTGGTTACTTCACGGTGGCCGCCAAAATAATCAAAAGCTCTACTGCTTACTTCAGAAACCCATTCCCGTCTCGGCCGACCTACTCCTTTCACGTACCTGCTGGTAGCGGGCTGAAGAGTTCCAGGTATGAATGCAGATACATGCAAAGGGTGGTCCAGTGGAGATCTTAAGACCTTGCCATACAAAAGCAACTGGCGTTGCACGAGCATGTCAGAGGCGGCACTGCAGCGTGCCCGATGTAAAACAGCCGTTTGCAAGCCTAGGGCCTATAGGCAAGCAAGAGCCTCACACGATAACGAAAAAACACAAAACCAGCTCCCTGGACTCTTGACCAAGGCCCAGGTGCGGTTTTCATCTCTTGGGGGCTGAGCCCCCGAAGCCCGGACGGCAAACCTTAGTCTGAGCTCGTCTTACACAGCCTCGCCTTCGCCTGCAACCTTTCACTCCCTTATCCCCGAACGGGCCCAAACACTCAAAACTCTGCGACCCTTCATCGGAGACGCGAGGGGGTTGCTTGGATTCTGGGACATGGAGTGTTCAAAATCGCTCTTGAAAAGAGCCAAGGGGCACATGTCAGAGCTTCCATGGTTGAGTCCGCCTTTGTCGTCGGATTCTTCGGAGGAAACCTGCAGAGAAGCAAAGCCAGCGGTTTCACTGCTCTGACCGGGTTCTCAGCTCTTGAGGGCCACTCGAAAAAAACAGGGAGCGCCACATCTACAGAGTCCACTTGTGTAATGATTGACAAAGGAGTGGTCGCACTACGATGGACGTGCATTCTTGGAAAGTAATCCGCCTTCAGCCCATCTTCGGTTTGACGCGGTATTGCAGCGCATTCTGACTATATGTGCTCCTTGACTCGCGCTGTCCAGGACGGTCCCTGGTGACTCCTGACTCTGACTTTCATTCTGCACGGTTTTCCTCCGCAGGACTCGAACCCTAAACCACATGCTCCTAGCCGAATGTGCTGCGCGTCAAACCAAGAAACTGCCTCAGCTTATTGCGTGGTCGTGCAGTCGTAATCATCGAAGAGACCATGGTTTGGTGTTTGAAATGCGCGCTGACACTTCTGGCCTCTCCCTCTCCCTCTCGCTCTCCGTCTCCCGCTCCCTCTCGCTCTCCGTCTCCCTCCCCCTCCCTCCCTCCCTCCCTCCTTCTCCCTCCCTCTCTCTCTCCCGCTCTCCTCCGTCTCCCTCTCCCTCTCCCTTCTCTCCCTTCTCTCCCTTCTCTCCCTTCTCTCCCTCTCTCCCTTTGCTTTGCTAGGGGCTTGAGGCGGGAGCAGTCCTCCCTCTCTCCCTCTCTCTCCTTCTCTCTCCCTCTCTCTCCCTCTCTCTCCCTCTCTCTCCCTCTCTCTCCCTCTCTCCCCCTCTCTCTCCCCCTCTCTCCCTCTCTCTCCCTCTCTCTCCCTCTCGCTCCCTCTCTCTCCCTCTCTCTCCCTCTCTCTCCCTCTCTCTCCCTCTCTCTCCCTCTCTCTCCCTCTCTCTCCCTCTCTCTCCCTCTCTCTCCCTCTCTCCCCCTCTCTCTCCCGCTCTCTCTCCCTCTCTCTCCCTCTCTCTCCCTCTCTCTCCCTCTCTCTCCCTCTCTCTCCCTCTCTCTCCCTCTCTCTCCCTGCTCTCCCTGCTCTCCCTGCTCTCCCTGCTCTCCCTGCTCTCCCTGCTCTCCCTGCTCTCCCTGCTCTCCCTTCTCTCCCTGCTCTCCCTGCTCTCCCTTCTCTCCCTTCTCTCCCTTCTCTCCCTTCTCTCCCTTCTCTCCCTTCTCTCCCTTCTCTCCCTTCTCTCCCTTCTCTCCCTTCTCTCCCTTCTCTCCCTTCTCTCTCTTCTCTCTCTTCTCTCTCTTCTCTCTCTTCTCTCTCTTCTCTCTCTTCTCTCTCTTCTCTCTCTTCTCTCTCTTCTCTCTCTTCTCTCTCTTCTCTCTCTTCTCTCTCTTCTCTCTCTTCTCTCTCTTCTCTCTCTCTCTTCTCTCTCTCTCTCCCTCTCTCTCCCTCTCTCTCTCTCTCTCTCTCTCTCTCTCTCTCTCTCTCTCTCTCTCTCTCTCTCTCAGTCAGTCTCTCTCAATCAGTCTCTCAGTCAGTCTCTCAGTCAGTCTCTCTCAGTCTCTCTCAGTCTCTCTGTCTCTCTCTTATTCCACTCGGCCGCGGCGATCACTAACCCTCCGGGCGATGTGGCACACCGGAAAAGAGACGAGTGAGACAAGAAGAGAGCTCAGTCACCGGACCTCCCCCCGAACCCCCTATGCCTAACACCCCCAACCTGCCTGAAGGCTAGCGGCTAGGACTGAAACCCCCAAACCGTTTGGTGGAGAATCTCGGCTGTCGGCCCCCGTTGGGCATCGGGCTCTGGAGTCAGTGGTTCTACTCCCCCGACAAAACGCGACATGCACAGTATGCTACCGGTATGAAGTGTTCTTCCACCGACAGAGTCTCCACGACACAAATCTACAAAACTGCACAGCTCGCGACCCTCGGCGACCTTCGGCACCCGGCAGGGAGCCGCCGCTCCCTCTCTTGCTTGCTTGCTTAGGGGTGTGGGTGCATGCAGGCACGCACCCTGACCCGAAGGCTTATACCCCCCGTGGCGCGCAGCTGTCTGTCCCCTTTCGGGGTTGAGGGGTGAACACGTTCTCGCGAGTGTACCTTGTAAGCCAGCCCCCAACCGCACGAAAACCACGACCTTGGAAAACCTGGAGGCACATCTCGCGTCATCCGTGGCCCTTCCAACTTCAACAACTACCAGCATAAATAACCGACCGCATTCCACATAGATGACTCCCCCGCCAAGGTAGAGGTATGTAATCCAAATAACCACCGACAGCTGCGAGTGACATCAATGTTGTCGGTCCCTTGTGTGCGGCCCCGCCTCACTAATAGTGGGCAGAAACAGAAGCACAAGATGAAGCACCAGGGAAATGCTGAAATGTTGACTCGTTTGTGATCATGCTCGCATGATTGGAAAACGCAAGACTGAGACAACAAGTAAACTGCCACCCCATGAGTTGCAAACACAGTCACACCCCTGTTGTTTTCTCGGATTCGATCTTGAGCAAACATCAGGAGCTGCAATGCCTCTGCGCGACTAGGGGGGGCGGGGCGGGGGGGGCTGGGGGTGCTGGGGGGGGCTGAGGGGGCTGGGCTGGAAGCTGAACGGACGGGGGGGTGTGGGGGGCGGGCTGGGGCCGGGCCGGGGTCTGGCCTCTTCGACCAAGTTTAGTACTGAGAGGCGTACCCGGGTGCGACATTTCGATCACAGAAACATCTTTTCTGTTGTGCTTTTCTTGCGCTCGACGCGGTCCGATTGTGTTTTTTGTTTTGTGCTTTTCTTGTGCTCCAAGAACCAAACGTGTTTGTATGTTTGTGTTTTTTTTGTGCTTTTCTTGTGCTCGAAACGACCCGGCTGTTGTGCTTTTCTTGTGCTCGACGCTCCGATTGTGTTTTTTTTTGTGCTTTTCTTGTTTGCTCCAAAAACCGGTCCGAAAAAACCAAACGTGTTTGTATGTTTGTGCTTTTTTTTGTGCTTTTCTTGTGCTCGAAACGCTCCGGCTGTTGTGCTTTTCTTGTGCTCGAAACGCTCCGATTGTGCTTTTTTTTGTGCTTTTCTTGTGCTCCAAAAACCAAACGTGTTTGTATGTTTGTGCTTTTTTTTTGTGCTTTTCTTGTGCTCGAAACGCTCCGGCTTTTCTTGTGCTCGAAACGCTGATTGTGCTTTTCTTGTGCTCTGTCTGTACTCTTTCTGCAATCTAGGCAGGCCTCCGGGCTCGTTTCCGCAAACGTGTTTGCATGTTTGTGTTTTTTTGTGCTTTTCTTGTGCTCGAAACGCTCCGATTGTGTTTTTTTTTTGTGCTTTTCTTGTGCTCCAAAAACCAAACGTGTTTGTATGGTTGTGCTTTTTGTTTGTGCTTTTCTTGTGCTCGAAACGCTCGGCTGTTGTGCTTTTCTTGTGCTCGAAACGATCCGATTGTGCTTTTTTTTTGTGCTTTTCTTGTGCTCCAAAAACCAAACGTGTTTGTATGTTTGTGCTTTTTTTTTTGTGTTTTTCTTGTGCTCGAAACGCTCCGGCTGTTGTGCTTTTCTTGTGCTCGAAACGATCCGATTGTGCTTTTTTTTTGTGCTTTTCTTGTGCTCCAAAAACCAAACGTGGTTGTATGTTTGTGTTTTTTTTTTGTGCTTTTCTTGTGCTCGAAACGCTCCGGCTGTTGTGCTTTTCTTGTGCTCGAAACGATCCGATTGTGCTTTTTTTTGTGCTTCTCTTGTGCTCCTTGTGCTCGAAACGCTCCGGCTGTTGTGCTTTTCTTGTGCTCGAAACGATCCGATTGTGCTTTTTTTTGTGCTTTTCTTGTGCTCCAAAAACCAAACGTGTTTGTATGTTTGTGCTTTTTTTTTGTGCTCCATGATTTCAAAACACATTGGCGCGCGGCAGTTCTGGTGCAAAATTGTCTCTGTCTGTTGTGCTTTTCTTGTGCTCGACGCGGTCCGATTGTGCTTTTTTTTTGTGCTTTTCTGGTGCTAGTTTTGCTCTGTCTCTCTGGCTGCCGGGCCAGTCCAGTCCCCGCGTCCAGGCCGTCTGAAAGAAGGTCTCCGGGCCCAGGTTGCGATGGTAACGAAACCGTGGTTCCAAACCTCTTCGCTGGTAAGTTGCAGATAACTCCTCCCAACCTCTTCGCCGGCCCGACCCCATCTCACAGCCCTAATCGCCAAACTATGCCAAACATATTTGGATTCAAAACACTGCCTGGCCCTGGAAAACCGAATGAGATCAGATTTCCTTGTGCTACTTTTGGCCTGTCTGTTTGATAATAAACCTATTTTTGAACTATTAGTGGGCCGGGGCCCCATCTAATCGGTCCCCCTTTGGCAAATATTTGTGCGGAATGCAGGCTATCGTTTTGGAGCAATGCCCCCTCTCCCTCTCCCTCTCCCTCTCCCTTCCTCTATCTCTATCTCTATCTCTATCTCTATCTCTATCTCTATCTCTATCTCTGTCTCTCTCTCTCTCTCTCCCTCTCGCACCCGCGCTAAATCCCGGGCAAGAACCTGCTCCATCTCGTCCGAGTCATCCAGCCCCAGCTCAAGCGGCTGTTGGCGGCCTTGTAAAGCACAGGGCACAGTATGGACACGGAAACGGAAACTGATTCAACTACACGCCATGCAACTAACTCTGTCCGATCCTCGATCGCTTTGACACGTGATTTTCTACCAGTCTCTTGGGCCACGATTAAACACGCCGCTTTGCCTTTTCAGCTTCATCGCAGGCTACGGCCTTTGCGGCGTTGCACTTGATGTCCGGCATGTGCTTCATTCTGCAGCAGAGCCAACGCGTGAGGCCACCGCTGTAAAACTCTGTGTTTGACCGGTTGACAGGCCCTTCAGCACACCTGTTTCTCGGCCCCGGCTTTAAAGTGGCCCCTGGCTGTTCCTCTTTCACAACAGCTTGCCTTCAGCTGGCTGTCCGTTGCACATGATATCCAAGCCGACCGAGACTCTGACGGCCACTCTGACATACACATCATGTCAGGCCGGATGACAATGTCCCACATGACCATCATTCACGTCTGCCCACATGATGATAAAATCCGACCGTGCGCGTCTTGCCGCGCATCCATGCTTTGTCAAATGAGAACTTCTATCCGAACAAACTGCAATGCATCCAGGGGAGTGTAGTGTAGCCACCGCCAATAATGTGGTCTCCTGATTATTAAACCCGCCCTCCCCCCAAACAACCAAAATGCGTAATAATGATGGCGTGTTTGCGCGCCGGGGTCGAAGTTGTTTGGGGGGCCGGGGTCGAAGTTGTTCGGGGGCCGGGGCTCTCAGTAGTAGTACACCTATAGTACAGTATCAAAATAGTATAATCGTATAGTACAGTAGTACAGTAGTACAGTAGCACAGTAGCACAGTAGCACAGTAGCACAGTAGCACAGTAGTACAGTTGTACAGTAGTACAGTAGTACAGTAGCACAGTAGCACAGTAGCACAGTAGCACAGTAGAACAGTAGCACAGTAGTAGCAGTAGTAGTAGTAGTAGCAGTAGTAGTAGTAGTAGTAGTAGTAGTAGTAGTAGTAGTAATTACACTCTTGTTTTACCGGCCTTTCTGAAGCACCCTGGGCTCTGTCCGCTCGCCCTCTTTCGCGAACTCTCGACCTCCTCCTCTCGTGACTTGAACGAGTATTCAGAGACTTGAGGTTTTTATATAGAAGCCTTATGGTTTTCAATGCAGCAAGGGATTCTGGTTTGCTCCCCGGCAGGCCGCTGCACTATTGAGGGGGCCTTTTCATCCGAATTATTGTGGGGTCGGCAGCTATCGTATACTACCCCTTAGAAAAGTTGCTGGGATGGCTGTTTTAATATGGGGTTGATATAAGAAACCTATAGATCTGGCAGCCGTGCAAAACCAGAGTTTGGAGCTTTGGCCTGAATCCCTGAAGGTTGCAGGCTTTAGGTTTCTATATAGAAGCCTCATGGATTCTGGTTTGCTCTTTGGCCGGTAGTAGGAGTGCTTATTCACCTAAACCTTAAAAATTTTACACCGGGACGGGTTTTAGCACTATTGAGGGGTCTTTATTATTACATGCAGGCCGAGTTTAGCTCTGTTGAGGGGACCTTTTATTATTGTGTGACGGGCCGAGTTTAGCTCTATTGAGGGGACCTTTAATAATCACGAGCTCACATTACTGCACAGTCATTACAAGGACACGGGACAATCGCACTCTACCGGACAAAACCAAGCCCGGCGTATGTTTGTGGTGGTCGTGCAGCGCTTGATCCACCTAGCCTCGTCGCGAGGGGTGGGGTAGCTGAGCATGGGAAATGTCCCGACGAAAAGCCCCTTGAACTCGAATTGTGCATAAATAAACGAGGCACTTGATGGCAGATCCCAGCGCAGCGGAGCATCGCTGATGGGGACTGAGTCCCCCCCCTCGTGCCTCGTCTTCTCTCTCGCTTGAGGCTTTTAGGCTGGGGTGAAGTATAGTTTGGACAAAACCAGCATTGTCAGGGAGCGTGCTCCATGTGTGGACATATCTGCTCGAAACTGGGGCGAATCAGTGGCGGGCAGACGGTGCATGAAGTAGTCTAGCCGCCTACAATCACACAACCTCGGAGGTGCTTATTGGACAGCTGCATGCGTTTCTTCTCTCGCCAAAATGAGTCATCGCCTCGCCGGTCTAATATCCAGTGCCATGAATCCCTCTTACACCAGCACAATCTCGCATTAGCTTGTGCATGGAAGTACATACCCTGTTTCATCTCTCCATGTAAACAGAAGTATTTCGTAGAAGTTGCCAGGGGTTCTCGCTGCGCATAGACAGGTTCCTGACCTGCACACGCTCAGCAAATCTGGTAAATGACTTCGCGCACCTCGATTTCTTGTTGAATGTCAGTGTGTCGTGAAGTCAAAGCATCAAGACTCTTCGGCATGGGCTGAAACATCACAGGTCCCAGAACCTCAGATCCTGAACCCTGCAGCGGGACTCTTTGCAGTAAAGGCTTCAACTCGCGGCTTCCATTCTCTGCCGCACACAGTTGCGTACAAGCAGGCTTCCGAGTCGGCATAGTCTCCGACCCTAGTAAAAAACGCTAACTCTGTTGGCTTCACATCGCGGACGTCCTTTGTGGAACATTCATGGAAGTGAAGCAGGGGTAGGATAGGGAAACGACAGGTCCATCCAGATCTGTGTGTCAGGTTCCATCTATGCGGCCCCTGGTCAGAATACATTCACAACACACAAGAGCCAGTTACCAGCAGTAATTGATGGAGGTTGTATCGTGATATAATGCTACCATGCAGGATGAAAACTTTCTGGTATTGCACCTGGCGCTCCAGCTCTGAAAACCGTGGCTCGTAGGTTGTCCTTAATTTGTTGGAAGCCAAGACATGGAGGTTCAAGGATGGATCTTGCAGGGATCCTTCCTGCTATGGCTTTCGTTGAAGAACATGGCATTTACCCTCCGCAACGCATGTCGACAGCTGCTACCTTGTGTACCCGGATGCCATGGGCATACGCTGGCATGCACATTGCAGAATTGGCTCGACCGCGGCGCTTGCTCGCGTCTGCTTTCAGAATAAACATCCAGAAGCTGCCGTCGCAGCAGCTCAAAGGACTTGTCCAGAAACTGCGCGAACCTTGCCCGAAGGAGTTGCAAGGAACTTGTCCAACTGGCAGCTGGATCGCTCTTTGTCTCACTATATGAAGCCCATGTGCTACAAGCTCATGTAACAAAGAGACACACACATATGTCTCTATACATACATACATACATACACACATACATACATACATACATACTGTACATACATACATACATACATGCATGCATACATATATATATATATATATGGCCACCCCGAAGATTTACACCCGCGTCTTCCACACGACTGCACAGGTTGCTTCTCTACATTGGTCCACTACTTTTCTTTGTCACTCGCACTCGAACAAGTCAGGGGAGGTCGCTGAAGCACCAGCACTGTACTGTTGACCTCCATTGCACATTGGCATGTGGTACGCATTATCCTATCGACGATCACTTCCGACCTTCCCATCCCGTATGTCGTATGGTTCACGTGTCAGGCCTGGTCCACTCCTTACATATGCCAGAACACTGTAAATAGTGGTGCAATCGTGCCTTTCGCCATGTGCATGCGTGTGCATGCAAACCGTGCTGCCGCATGTCGCGGGGTTGATATGTCTGTGAATCTGGCACCGAGTCTCGGCCGCAGATTTGCAATAGTTTATGTCTTGGAGAAGCTGAAAATGCTGCAGGGTGTGCTATTCTTGTTCATGTAGTGCTAAAACCCCTCGTGTTTTTTGCGTTTTATAAGTGTTTTATGGTGTGTTATTTTACAACAATCGTACATCACGGGCACTGCGTATTTCGGCGATTGAAGGCTGCGCTCACACGTGGACACATGTACTGAATCCGAAAAGTCCAAAAATCTGGCATCTATGGCCAGGTCAGTAGCAGATTTCTTCTAAATGTTTAATTTGTTGAGCATTTACACTGTTTCGCGAGATTGCTGGCAGGAAATGTTGGACGTTTCATGACGTTTCTTGAGCATTACAGTGTTTCGTAGCTTGGACCTCACAAGACACTGTAATGCCTTCAAACACAACTTTTTCCAACCTCGAAGCTCACGAAACTTGTGTTTCGTGGCTTACACCTCACCAAACACGGTCATGCTCCAAAGATATCCAAAAATTCAAATAATTCCAAACCCTGAAACTCACGAAACACTGTCATGTTCGAAACATTTCAAAATTCTGGCATCTACGGCCAAGCCGGTGACAAATTCCTGCAAGATTCCGAAGTTTGTTGAGCATTACAGTGTTTCGTAAGTTTGATGGTTGGAAATGCTTCAATCGTCACGGAACATTGTACTGCTCAAAAAATTCACAAGATCCAAAATTTTGGCATCCACGGCCAGGCCTGGGCATATTTGAGCATGTCAGTCTTCGCGTCCTAAAGCTCGGGGCCAACAGGGCTGCGCTCTCTCGGGAGGGGGAAACCCGGTTGCCCCCCCACCTTGCTGCAAACGGTGTAGGGTGTCGAATGCATCTAGACAAAATGAACCATCGCAAATACAAGTGAATTTGGGGTAGCCGTTTGTGCTTGTACGTTGTACACATACGTGCGAAGCACCAAAACCGGATGTACACTTGCACGGAAGTTTCATGTCGTACGTGTTTGAAACGCATTGATGCGTAAATAGCCGCCCGAGCGGCTGAAACCTAGTGTTAGAGGACACCTGTATTACTGCAGCAAGGTCTGATCCACAATTGGCAAGAGCAGCTGGATGCAGCAGTACACGCGTGAGCAAATCCAGGAAAGGGTGGAGCTCCCTCCCTTTTTGCAAAACAGAAATCTGGTCGTCCCCCCTGCCTTCAAAAAGAAAACGGAAATCCTTTACGTCATGTCGGAGCCAGCAACGTACGAGTTTTCTATTTAACCATCGAAAACAAGAAGAGAGCTTCCTCCATATCACGAGAAAGGAGAGGGCTCCTCTACCTTTTTGGTAGACTGGCAGGTCCTCCACCCCAGCAACTCATAAGAGAGAAAAAGCTTCTTCTCGAGAAAGAAGAGAGTTCTGTTTACCTTCTTGTCGACAAAAAGAAATTAAACTCCTTTCTTTCTCAGTCAGAAGCGAAAACTCGTGACCATCTCCTCCTCCTTTTCAAAATGTGGCAGAGAGCTTACGATCAAGAAGAAAGGATGGAGCTTTTACAAACCTCAAGCCTTGACAAGAGAAGTCTGATTTTCCCGCGGCCGTCAAAAGGAAATGAGAAGCCCGTTACCTCATCTTCTGAAGCACTCCAAATTATTCTTGCTAAGAGAAGAGAGAGTTCCTTTCTAGCAGAGAGCTCCGCTACCTCTTGGCAAGTCGCCTTTTTAGCCTTAAGAAGATGGAGGCGACATAGCTCCTAGCAAGAGCAAAAGGAGAGCTCATCCTCGACAAGAGGAGACTGAGAGCTTGCTCCAATCTGATGGTACAGAAGAGAGCTATATCTCAACAAAGCAGACAGGCCCCTCCAATTTGACGAAGAAGAACAAGAGAGCTCCGCCTAGCCCTCAGTAGGCAAAAGCAGACTTCTTGTTTCACTCTCTTGGCAAGGCCGAGAGAGAGTTCCTGACTGTTTCCTTTTCCTCTTCAGAAGATGGAAGAAAGCTTACGCTCAAGAAGAAAGGATGGAGTTCCCCACAGACTTCTTGAAAGAAAAGTCTGGTGCTCCTTTTTTGGGTTCCTCAGACGTAAGCTTCAGCCACGGTGCAGTCTCCGCAGGTTGGCCTTGTCACGCATGGAGCTTGACCTCGTGGCTGGGCCTGCCTGTTCGTAGGAACGTAAACGTCCGAGAGGTCCAGGTCCAGACTCGCCTTCTTGACCAGCCACCGAAGGCACGCCAGGGATCGCGCAGGAGCTGGAGTCCCGTCTGCCAGGAAGGAGTCCACGTCCACCAGCTCCGGCACCAGGGGCCTGTCACGAGCCCTCTGCCATGCAGCCAGCTCGGCCCATGTCTTCACCACCCCATCGATGGTGGAACGGTCCGCCCTGTCCACGAACCTGGACGCCGATCTCTCCAAAGTGCGCGTCCATTCTTTCGTAAGTGCATCAGACAGGGGCCCCTTTGGCCTGAAAGCACCAATCTGGAGAAGAACCCGGCAAAGTTTGGCCTTCCTTTCGCGACGTGCGTTCTCTTCCATCAATTGAAAACGTGGAGGGGGTAGTCAGGATCTCTTTCCCTGACCTCGAGAGAAACAATGTCTCTTTTTGTCGACTGTGAACGGAGCTTTCTTCTTTTTCATGAACTTGGAGGAAGCTTTCTTCTTCTCATTGTTTTTCTGCAGGCTGGGGGAGCTCTGTCCTTTCGTGCTCGGAGTGGGAGCCTTTCATCCCTCTTCAGATGGAATGAAGACTTACCAAGATGTATAAAAAGTCCATTCTAGAAGTTTGTTGTCTCTTGCCAAGAGTAACCTGCTGGGGTCTCTTTGCTTGTTTCAAAGGAAGAGGTAGAGGGCTGCTCATTTCTTGTTGCAGGCTGAGGGGGGGACCAGAATCTTTTATTGGAAATTAAGGAGCTTTGTCCTCATTTCTTGAGAATGATCTCTCTTCTAATCCTTGAAGAGGAACAGGGGATGACAAGGACTTTTCTCTATCTTATTGTCGACTAAAAGACGGCAGTAACTCTTTCCTTTCTGGTGAAGTGGGAAGGGCTCTTTGCTTCTGTGGCAAAGGACCTGCCACTGGATCTTCTCCCTTCCCCAGAAAGAGAAAAAGTTGAGAAAAAAGGCTCATCTCTTGCCGGTGACGAGGTGAACTCATCTCTCTCGTTCCTCTGTTTGAAACTGAAGGAGTTGCGTCTTCTTTGACTAGAAGCGACCTCCCTTCAATTTCATATTCTTGCACTTATACAGTCAGGGTGAGGTTGTTTGGACGAGCGACCATACCAAAACACGACTCTCAGCTTCCAAATAAACCCTATTTAAGCCACCCACCTCCCCCCCTCCCCTGTGGTGGTGCCTTTGGTGTTTGCCATTTGTCAATAAGGATTTAATACGGTATGCAAGAACACTGGCCCTCTCTACAAGCTTGCGTCTAAACGCCCCAGCATGCAACCAAGCAGAAGCTGCAATCTTGGCTGCCTTGTCGCATACGATGCTATTTTACTTACATTGCATTGGCTGCTCAGCAGCTAGCAAACCTACACGGCTTACAGCGATTTGTCAGTAGATGTACTGTCATGCTTGTGGCGATTGCTACTACACTGGATGTAATTAGCAGTTTTCCTTGTTTTCCGTGTCGTTCCCTCCCCTTGTTGTCTGCGGTGCCAGGGCAGGGGGGATACCATGAAGAGGGGTGGGGGTGCAGCCCGGCAGCCGAGGTGTGTGCGTGCGTAACATGGGCATTCGAGCGAGCGCGATGGGATCCTGCATTCAGTCTTGCGGGCCCTGTGCCGCCCCACCACCGTGCATGTGCTGACCGGCAATGGTGCTGCAATAAGAGTAAAGCTGCAGCGTGCTCGTGTGAGCCATTGCAGTGGAAGCTGAGTGGAAGTGGTCACACGGTCAGATGGAAGCAAAGGTACCTCGCAAAAAGAAAGGTTGGCAGCACATGCGTAGAGACAACCAAGGCAGCAGGGCAACTGTTACTGAGGAAGCGCTAACAAGAGAGCGGAAGGGCTGGCAGCATCCAGGTCTCTGACGATAGCCAGGCTGACATGTTCATATAATACACAAAATCGAATGACTAGCATGACGGCAGCAATAACAATAAACACCGAGTTGCATCTGCAAGCTGTCCACATATGGTTGCTCTCAATTTCGCGTTGCGAGCATGCCAAAAATCACGCTAAGTTCAGGCCTAAAGTCTGCAAAAAGCATCCGGATTTCACGGCTCTTGCGCACCAAGGCTTCTGCAGTCAGGGAGCGCTTCGGGCTCCATGCTCAAGCTCCAGGATGTGAGCCCATGCGGCGACTATGCGTGATGATTCCTATACTTGCAAGGACTTGCAAGGCATGCATTTGTCCTTCACGTTCGAGGACCTGCTTCCACAAAAGACTTCCTTCTGTACTCCGGCTATGCTGCAAACCACGGTGTAGCGATATCAGGTTCCAGGGCTCCTGATCATGGGCTGTTGACTTCAGGGCACCCACAGGAATGCTCAAGGCTAGTGGTCTGGGTCTCGACACACTTGCCTAGCCGCATTGAGAACAAAGGGCAGGACGTATCCTGATCTGCATGCATCTGATCAAGGTTACGAACTGTTGGCGGGTCTTAGCCAGAACGACGCTGCTGCGAGGGTAACGCAGCGGCGCACATAGGTACATCCCTGAAGCATGCTTGAGGACCAGTGAAGAGGCTGAGACGGGCAGGTTCTCCAAACCACGTCATGGGACTTATAGAATGTGGGACAGCAAACGTACCGCTTTGAGCTGCACCCATGTTCCATGATGCGTTGGCTTCGGGAGACACGGCCGCCGGTAGGTTACATCTGCATCTGCGAGGCTCCAAGACCGCCCAGGAACTCGCCGCCCTTTGCCTCCACTTCGACGCAAGGATGCGGATACACAGAACCTTAGTATTGTAATTGTCATGGCTAGGTCTTGCGGCCGTTCAGTGTGGTGCAATGCAGATACACATGCGGACGGCTAGAACAGAACAACTCTAAAGGTGTATCTCATCGAAGTGTATGTTTAGGCCGCTGATGGCCCCTGCAAGCGAACATCATAATGGAACGGTGGCGAAGACAATGCGGGCACCCGGGCAAACGCGCAGGAACAAACAGGGGGTGCAGACCACACACAAACGCCGGGGCGGGACGAACGGAGGGGGGGCCTTTGCTGCATGCCCGCCCGCGCGCTCCCTGTCGCACGACGCTCGTGTGCCTGCACGATTCGGCGCGTACGATATATGTTCTTGGCTCGTTTACATATATTACAGCTCCTGCGCCGCCACAGTGTGCGCTATGACGAAGAAGGCCAAAATCACACCTCGCTTCCTCGCAAAGCCCACAAGGCTGAAGAAACTGAAACTTCAAGCAAGTATGCATCAATAGCTTCAAGCCCACTGGCGGACAACAGAATCGCGAAGAGCGAGCTGATGGGCCTGCCAGTAACTGTTCCAAGAAGCCGTCCTGTGCTGTTGTCAGCTGGCAGCCCGCCCCCTGATGGAGCATGTCGAAGCAGCTGTCGCCAAAAAGCTCGATGAAGCTGACCTGTGCGATGATGCAGCCTTCGGTGGATTCGCTTGTCAATGCATCCTGTTACAATCATGGCCTGCCAAGAAAACGACATGAAAGCCTCGTCTTCTCAGACTCCTGAGAACAAACCTGGGAAACCCCCGAGCATCGAAAATCCATTCGGACACAGAAGTGCGCGAGCATATGCCGCGCACTGAATTCCAACTGCCCAACCTGCAGCCTGCCTGATCTCGCCATCCCCCTGATACTTGGACTCCAAATTTGTGCCGGGACGCGGTGACGGTACGCCCGGCTGCCCCTGCGAAGATATCCTCTGCAGCCTGCTGGTAAATTGAACCTGAGCAGTAGAGTCATCCTCTTGCTGCACCACTGATACTGGTAAGCTTCGTCGCAAGGCCAGTCTCTATAAGGCACGGGCGCATGGTGTATGTCTTTCCACTGCCCGTCTGCCCGTACCTTGCGATCTGGAGTCTGCTCTAATCGCCAGCAACAAAAGGAACCACAACGAAAACTACAGCCAGCCGCCGCAACCACAGAAACAAATGCAACAGCGAAAGACGTATTGCATTACTGGTCTTTCGTCATGCGAACAACACCTGAATCGTGTACCCGGAGCTCTTCGGATGGCTTGTGGTTGGCACCACGTGCAGGACCCCTTGAGCATGGGACATCATGACCGTGCCGTTCTGGCCCTCCATTGCCGCCTCGACGATGGCCTCATAAGCGAATGGTCAATAGTCCGGTCGTGGTTGGTGCTATAGTACTAGTAGGATAGAAAAATCCTCTAACAATTCTACTCTGGTGTCGCTTGCCTTCAATTGTCGAAAACGATTTGCTCATAGCACCCGCCTTGGCTGTGCCTTCGTACACCATTCGATTATCCGCTGCCTGACCAGGCCGTCGTGGATGTTTTAGCAAGTGCTATCAACGTCACCTGTAGGTAGACACTGCGCAAGTCCTGGAATGGCAATTCAATCGTGGACATCCCCCTCCCACCCAGCACAGCAAACTGCATTGTTATCCTGGGCCGCGGCAAAATGCCAAGACGTGCTTTCTTGCTTGCAGTTCGAAGATTTCATTTCTGCTTCCCGAAGCCCACAGCTGGCCTCGTCAAAAGCTTCATCAAAATCGAAGTCATGGTGATTCATGTACCTCGGGACAGAATCCCAGCACTTTGGACAGCTCTGCCGCCCATAGTCTGCATCAGTTGATTCATTGAACCAGGTAGAGGCGAAAACGGTGTCTGCGGAAGCGAATGGCCACAGCATGGGCAGGCAAGGTGCAGCTTGACCATGTCCGGATGCATTCGTGCGTCCTCGGCAAAGCTTGACTGAAGGCGAAACGTTTGTTGCAACCAAAGGCGACATCCCGGATGTGGCGATCAAACCTGACAACCCGCCAACCTGCCAGAGTCATGAGTGAGTATTGAACCAATGCACATGTCCAAGCAATGCGCCGGTCATTCTTGTGCGGTTCCCGTGATAAACACCCACATCATTCACCCCTCAGCACGCGAACAAGGAGCATGCACGACGACACGTCCAGGATCTAGGCAGGTGATGGCATCAAACTCACCTTGCCAAAAAGCTGGTGGACTGCTCATGACTGGTCCAATATGAAAGTTCACGCTCGCACTGTAACCTGTGACAACTTTCTCTAGCTACGATTGGCTTCATCTCGCTGCACATGCTCAGCAGGCAAGATGGTCTGCTGTGGCTGCCAGGAGGGCGACTGCCCTCATCAGGTCAACACCGTATGCTTGTCTTCAGGGTTCTTGTACTTCATCGTCTGAGAAGTTCAACTTCTGCGAGTCGAATCGAAACGTAATCTTCAGGCAGCAGGTGCCGAAAGCGTGCAAGGGAAGCAAGAACTAGATTCGATGAGTCTTTACGAGGGTTGCGGCCTACACTGAATTGAATACCTACAAGGTACCAGCCCACCTGTGGAAAACCGACTATGTATACGGAAGTTCGACTTCGGCTCGCGGCGGCAGCTACGCCCTCGCGAGCATACTTTCAAGTTTCCGACGAGTCCAACGCTTTCAGATCGCAGGGCAGGATACCTGATACCGCTTCTCCTGCGTTGGACAACCCGCATCGGCCAATCCCTGCTTCGATTCAGGAAAGTATTTCGTCTGCCCTGAACCGAAAGACCACAACCCGACCCTGTCTGCCGGCTGGCCCCTCGGAATGCAAATGTCATTGGAAACTCAGCTTGACAGCACAAACTTTAGGCGCCTTGTTCTATCTCATGCGGGAAGATCGGCCTCTTCCGGACCTTGGTTGACAAGCTGAGTTACGACAGCCCCGGATGCAGAACAAAGAAGCATGCCCAGAGCTTTCGACCAATCAGCGGCCACTGATAGCTGCTGCAACAGACATTAAGAACTTGCCGGCGATAGCTGCGTGGAACAAACCCTGGCCAAGACGCACAAACACGGATACCACGGGCTTCTTCACATCCGCCGCAGCGCGGTGGTGCTTGGAAAGGCGCCTATACATGATACGTGGGAAGTTTGGGGTTCAGCTGGACGCAGCACCATCGGAAATTCAACTTTGCAGGGTTCACTGTGCGTGCGTGGATGCACTACTGCATCCGCTAGTGTCCGCTATGGTAGAATGTACTTGACCTTTCAGTCACGCACCCTTCGTTGTCCGTGAATTCCTGCATAGCTGCTTTGAAAGTTGCATTCTGGTCTAATCCCATCCCTTTGATATCAAAAAGGGGGGCCTATGATTAGGGGGGTTTGCATCTGTACTGTCGTCATTGGGGATGATCTTGCTCCGGCTATGGCTCGTCTTGCTCCTTCCGGCCGCAGCTCTTGCTGTTGCTCCTGCTGCGGATCGAGCTCTTGCTCCTGTTCATGGATCTTACACCCTCTTAATTCAAAATACGCTGAAAAAGCCTGGGATGATCTCACGGGGTACTTCCATGAAACTGCTCTTACGACTAGTGACTAGAGGGTGTTCGAGAGCTTAATAATATATGGGGGAAGTGATTAGCAGCTGTCCTCATCGCGCCCAAACCCCGACCCTACACGCTGACAAATGCACCATTGCTGAGAACGCGAAGTCTCTTGCCCGTGCCTGTCGGAAACGCTGTGCTGCTGCCTGCCCGATGACACTTCTTGGGCCAGACTTATCAAATTGTGGCATGCGATCTACAAAAGCATGAAACTCAACGGCGCCTGATATCACCGAAAGACTGACTCACATTGCCGTCGTTGTGGTAACTTATCACACCAAGCGAGCCTCGAAAATGGCACGGTGCTCCCGCCGCGAGGTCCTCAGCTGTCGGGTTATACGAAAAGAGTGTGAGGCAGGGGGCTCATGATGTCCAGGTCTGTTCTGGTGGGTGGTTGATCTTGCAGCAAATTCAACACAGGAATGCAAACAACCAAACATCCGTTTTCTACGAGCCGTGAGTGTGTCAACCGTGGCTTTGGGAATATGCAGCCGCAGCGTCCGCTTGTCTGCATTGCGCACTAATGGTCCCGACTGTTCATTGCCCATCGGTGAGACAGTGCCCGACACGAAAGTCTTGGAAATAGTGCTATAGAAGCTTCCATTGCCCGAGGGCGACCCCTCAGCTCAGTGATGGAAGCACCGAGGTCCAACTGTTCAGGACTGAGAACTTAAGAGTGCTGCTGTGGGACTACGGCTGCACTACATTCTGCCTCCGTCACGGTCTAGTCTAGTCTTGACTTCGCGTCCGTGAGGCAGCTGTTGCAGTCCACTATGCT